AGAGCATTTCATTCTTTCCCAGCATCATTTTTTGAGGTTATTCCTGCCTCCAGCCTTAGCAGAGGCTGCTCTAGGAGGAGTGTTTGCCATGCAGGACAACAGTCCCAGGAAATCCTGTATGCCTGTAAATGGGATGCCAGAGCTGGTGAGAAATCCCACAGTAGCTCCCAGGGGATGCACTCACTGCAGGCTCAGCTGAGATGTTGTCTCCAGCCACAACAATGCCCTTGGGAAGCTTTTCCTGGTGGGATGATTGTACAGAGCAATCCCAGAAGATGCTGCTGGAGGCTGGAATTGGGATACTTGCCACAACCACTCCTGGTTTCCCAAGAACCAGGATCCCAGGGCTGAACAGGTGCTGCTGCATCCCAGCCACACCTTCCATCCTCCCATATCGGAAGATAAATACCTTTATGGCTCCATCCAGGGAATTCACATCTGGATCAGGTGTCTGAAACTGTGCCACCCACTTTGCTCACTCCCCGCTGCCTTCACCCATTGTCCAACCTGTTTTCCCAGCTGCTGATGTCACAGCTCTATTTGTAAGGATTATTTTCCCTGGAACTATTTTCCCATTTTCCCTGAGTGTCTCAGATTTAAGCCGTGGACATGTGTCAGTCTGTCCATGGGTTTTGCCTGTGGTCCAAACTGGGACAGGGAGGATGTGATGTAAGTGCTGTTGTGTCACTCAGGACTGGCTGCAGCAAGTGATCCAAGTAGGAAATCAGCTGTTTACAAGAAATGAGATGGCCCAGGAGAAGTAGGAGGAAGTTAAACACGGGTTAATCCAAAGTGCCTCCCTCCCACGTGGCTGTGCTCCTCTTCCCCACAGCCATACACCCAAATGGTTTTCCCCTTCCAGCTGTGAATCTCCACTCCAAAATCCCTGAGGGGTTGTTGTGGCTGAAGAATGTGTCCCATCAGGGTGGGATACCCCATCCCAGCTGGGTGGAGACCCCAAAAACCAGGCCTAGCTATTTTTAGGTCTGGGGCTGCAGGCAATGAACTAGTAAGAAGAGTTTCAGTTTAATGAAGCAGAAGAATAAAAATGAGGTAGAATTGTGCGTAGTTCAGATTAAAGCTTGTCCTGGCTGGCTCCATCCTCTGGATGTTCCAGCAGCAACTTGAGCATCACGAGTGCCTCAGGGATGCTGTGGAGGATGATGACCACGTGTCAGATCACCCTTTTCTCTCTGCTCTCATGGGAAAACCTCCAGCAACTCTTTAGTCACAGTCACAGTATTTTTGCAACTGAAAGTTTCTGTTTTTCAACGTAATATTATGAAAATGTGTTTTCCCCCCTTCCTTCCAGCCTCAGATGGAGTCACGGGGGGTTTCTGGGCAGGAGTTTTACTGCTGGAATTTCCCCAACCACCTGCTCGTGGGCAGGAGCTGAAAGCTCACAGTGAATGGATTTGCTCACAGGAGAGCAGGGAAGACCCTGGGATGAAATCACTGCAGAAAAGAGAAGAGATGGGTGGGAAATACATGAAAACACCATCCTCCCCATGGGATGAGTG